CAATGGGTCCCACTGTAACACATTCATACATGCACACAGCCTATTATGACCACAGCCCCCTCATCCTCTCTTGTCCCTCTCCCAGTCCTGTGGGTCCCCTTCCTCTTTCCAACCAGTCCCTTTCATCTTCAGATCATTTTTCTCTTATCTTGTGACCCACTTGCTTGCATGAGCATGGGTGTATTTCTTAAATCATGCCTATTTGTGGTGAGGGATGGGCGTGTGTGTGTGTGTGTGTGTGTGTGTGTGTGTGTGTGTGTGTCACAGGGCACAGGGTGCATGTAGCCATCTCAGGTCATCAGGCTTGGTAACAAGCACCTTTACCTGCTTAGCCATTGCACTGGTCTGATGCCTGTACCACAGGTCATATATAGACACTGGTGTGTGTGTGTGTGTGTGTGTGTGTGTGTGTGTGTGTGTGTGTGTGTGTGCAGATGTGGATGTGTGTAGATGTGGGGACACACATGTCATGGCCCGTGTGTGCAGATCAGGGGACAACCCCTGTGTGACTCCTTGCCATCCACCTCCTTAGAGGTGCCTCTCTGTCATTTGCCACTGAGCTGAGCACACTGGGATGGCACACTTCTGGCAATTCTCCAGTGTCTGTCTCTTGTCACTGCAAAAGAGACCAGGATTCCACCTGTACACTGTCCAGTTTAGGTTTGCATGGGTTCTGGGGATTTGAATTTGCATCCCCAGGCACAGAACTTCATCCACCAAACTGTCTCTGGGGCTCCATCTTGGTTTCTTCTGCCTCAGCCTCTGGAGTAGCTGGGATCACAGGCCAGCTCCACAGCTGGCAGGTGCTCTTTTTTAACATTTATTTTATTTTTTAAAATTTTATGTGCATTGGTGTTTTGCCCACATGTATGCTTGTATGAGGGGCTGGTGTTAGATCCCTTGGAACTGGAATTACAGACTGTTGTGAGATGCCATGTGGGTGCCAGGAATTGAACCTGGGTCCTCTGGGAGAGTGATCTTGATTGCTAACTGGCAGGTATTCTTAACTAAGCAGAAATTGTAGCTAGCCACAGAGGCCAGTGAGTCCTGGGGCTTTTGGGCCAGAAATTCTAAAGGTGTCTGCACCTATTGCATAAGTCATATATAGATGTCAGGGAACCAGTTACCATTCCAGAGCCTTGTGCTTGGCTAGTGAACAAGGTAACAGGGATTAAAGCCCATGCCACTTAGACCCCAAGTGTGGGGATCAGAGGAAGCCCTGAGCGTGTGCAGTTGACATGACCACAGCTGTGTCAAGGACCCCAACACCTCACACCCAAGGAAGCGGCAAAGCCTTCCAGGGTGACACTTGGGAAATTGGTGTGGCCTTCCACTGGTCTGAATGTGGATTTTGTTAGTATGCATAAACTAGCTACCTCAGCTTGCTCCTCAGAGATTTCTACAGTCTGAGATGGTTCCCTTACAGAGACCTCCACAGGGATTAGGTAAACCACCATGCTCAGCTGTGTACCACCACCCTCCTCCTCCGTTAAGACAAATAATATAAACATGCTTTAATATCTTGGCTGTTTCTGGTGCATCTCCATCAGAAGGCATGGCCCACCTAGTCCCAGCTTTTCTATAGGTGTCTGTCTTTTCTTATTTCTTTATGGCCCCAGTCAAGTATCCAGGTCTAGGATGTGCAGGACTTGGTACCCACACCTGTTAATCATGACTCAGTTAAAACCCCAGGAGCTGCAGAGATGGCTCAGGGGATAAGCATTCTCTTCAAGCATATGGGCCTGAGTTTGAATCCCCAACACCTGCCTAAAAATCTGGGCATAGCTGAGCATGCATGGCACCCCAGCACTGGGAGAGTGGATGGTTTATAGGCAGACAGCCTAGCAGAAATGGAGAGGTTCAGTGAAGAGACTCTGACTCACCAGAGGAAAGCAGAGAGGGAAGGAAGAACACACACACACCTCCAGGGTGGCCTGGAAGTAGATGGTTCTGCATTTTGTAGATTTATTTATTTTGTTTTATGTGTGTGAGTGTTTTGCCTGCCCGGATGCTATGTGTACTATGTGCATGTAGTACCTACAGAGGCCAGAAGAGGGCATAAGATCCCCTGAAACTGGAGCCACAGATGGTTGCTAGCCACCATGTGCGTGCTGGGACCGAACCTCTTCAGGAAATGCTCTCAATTGATGAGCCGTCTCTCCAGCCTCGAGTAGATGGTTCTAGAACTGAAAGTCCTTTGTGATTCAAAAACACCACCAAATTGCTTGGTTCAGCCAGGCACAGTGGTACCACCTGCCATCCTGGCACTTGAGAGATGGAGGCAGAAGGATCATGAGTTCGAGGTCATTCTGGGCTGTCTCATAGCGCTAAGGAAAATAAGACAAAAAACACTGCCTGATTCCTTCCTTAGTAACTTGCACTTGTGCACATATCCGCGTGCACCACAGCATGAAATGTGGAGGCCAGAGGACTGCTTCCATGAGTTGATTTTCTTTTTCTACCTGGGGATGGAACTTAGGTGCACAGTCTAGGTGGCAAGCCCCTTTACCCACTCAGCCCTCTTGGCAGCCCGTTTCTGCCTCTCTGCTCTGCTGTTCCTACTCACATGGCAGTGCACATCTGTAACATCTGCACTCAGAAGGCTGAGTTGGAAGTCTTGTTTACCCAAGGCCAGATCGGGTTGGGGAGTGAGACCCCATCCCACAAGGAAAGGAAGGAAGGGAAGACAGGAAATGGGGGAGAGGGGGGGAATGGGGGGAGGGACAGGCAGTAGAGGGTGACAGTGCAACCCCTTTACCTTTAGAAACACAACCTGGAAGCTATTGTTATGCTTCGTCTCATTGGCCAAAACCAAGTCACATGGCTGTGTGCAGCTGCAAGGGAGCTTGACAAATACTTTTGCTACAATAGAAGAAAGCAGAGACTCAGATCAGTGTGGCTAAGGTGTTGTGGTGAGTCTCTAGGATTTACCCTGTACATGCCCAGGCCTTTAGCTGAGGGGGAAGAAGGGAGGGTGGAGGCTGGGAACTTGTGTGGTTACTTGTTGTGTTGCTGGGACAAAATACTTGACAAAAGCAATTTATTTATTTATTGTTTTTTTGAGACAGGGTTTCTCTGTGTAACTTTAGAGCCCATCCTGACGCTCGCTCTGTAGATCAGGGTGGCCTCGAACTCACAGAGATCCGCCTGCGTCTGCCTCCAGAGTACTGGGATTAAAGGTGTGCGCCACCACTGCCTGGCTAGCAAAAGAAATTTAATAAAGAGTTTATGCTGGCTCTCAGTTGGAGGCATTGTGATAGGGAGTGCATTCTGGCAGGAGCATCAGACAAGGATCTGTAGAAGTCAGTTCTGCTTTCACTATGTGGGTTCTAGGGATATAATTCAGGTCCTCAGGCTTAGCGGCAACCACCTTCACCTGCCAAGCGGTCCTGTAGGCCCTTAGATCCCTTTTATACAACGTTGCAATGTTAGTGTAGAGCTCGTGCAATCCTCCCATGGCCTTTAAATATTCTTTTTTTTTTTTTTTTGGTTTTTTTGAGACAGGGTTTCTCTGTGGCTTTGGAGGCTGCCCTGGAACTAGCTCTTGTAGACCAGGCTGGTCTCGAACTCACAGAAATCCGCCTGCCTCTGCCTCCCGAGTGCTGGGATTAAAGGCGTGCGTCACCAACGCCCGGCTAGATAATCTTCTCCTTAGATGAGATGGATGCTGAGCATAGGTGATACTGCTGCATTTTGCTAGTCTCTCCGTTGGAGACAGGGTCGTCTTACATTGTATTCCAGGATGGCTGGGAACTCCTAGCAGTCCTCCTGCCACAGCCTCCAGATCTGTGAGATTACAGGCATGCATCACCACACTGAAAATTTCTGAAATACACACACACACACACACACACACACACACACACACACACACATATTTATGGTTTTAAAAACAGGGTCTCACTGTGTAACCCTGGCACATCTGGAACTCACTATGTTGACCAGGCTAGCCTCGAACTTGGAGAACTGCCTACCTCTGCCTCCTGAGTGCTGGCATTAAAGGCATGCACCACTACGCCTGTCCTGAATTTTTTTGTTTTGTTTTGTTTTTTTGAGACAGGGTTTCTCTGTGGCTTTGGAGGCTATCCTGGAACTAGCTCTTGTAGACCAGATTGGTCTCGACCTCACAGAGATCCGTTTGCCTCTGCCTCCCGAGTGCTGGGATTAAAGGTGTGCGCTGCCACTGCCCCGCCTGTCCTGAATATTTTTAATACACAGTTACTGAACCCATAGACTTAGAATTTCTGTCTAAGGGGAATGGGGAAGAATATATGTGAAAGATTTAGTGAGTCCTCAGTGCTCCCCTCACTGGGTAAATGAAATAATTAACGGAATGATGGATGGAATGAAGGATCTATTGCTGGCCCAGGGATGGCCAGGATCAGTGGTGGAGACAATGAATTGACTTAGAGGTAGAGCCCCTGCCTAGAACGCCCAAGTGAGGGGCTGGAGTCACGGTCAGGGGTGGAGCTCTTTCCTAGCAGTGCATCAAAGGCTCAGGATTCCATTAGTAACAATGATGATTTTGTTTGTTTGTTTGTTTGTTTGTTGAGACACAGTCTCACTGTGAAGCCTGGGCTGCCTGGAATTCTCTATGTAGATGAAACTGTCTTTGAATTCAGAGAGATCAACCTGCTTCTGCCTCCTGAATACTAGGATTTAAGGACAGCAATACTAATAAATAACATTTTTTTTTTAATGAGGGGAGGTCTGGGCATTGACAGCACTCTACTATAAGCAGAGGCAGGTGGATCTTTATGAGTTTGAGGCCAGCCTGGTCTACCTAGTTAGCTCCAGGACAGCCAGAGTCATATAGTGAGACTCTAAGTCAAGAAACAAAACTGAAATCAGGAATATGTTCCGGGAAGTTAACATTTGAGTGATGAACAAATCCTGGTTCGTTCCTGGACAGCCTAGACAAAGGAGCAGCTATGGGTTAGCTCCGAGGGTGCTCCTGTCCTGTTCCCATCTGACCAGCCTGGTTCTTGCTTCACTTGCAGTTCAGCAATGTGTTCTTCTTCATCTTTGGACCTCTCATAATGTTCCTCATGCATCCTTATGCCCAGAAGCGCACCTGGGCCATCTACGGAATCTCAGTCCTCTTCATGGTCATAGGTACGTGCAAGGGTGTGAAGCTGTGGGAGCCTTCTGGAAATGGCGCCCCGCTTGACGGCCTCCGCTTGTCTCTGTCTACCCACAGGTCTGTTTTCCATGTATTTCCACATGACACTCAGCTTCCTGGGCCAGATGCTGGATGAGATCTCCATCCTGTGGTTGCTGGCCAGTGGCTACAGCGTGTGGTTGCCCCGTTGCTACTTCCCCAAGTTCATCCAGGGGAACAGGTACAGCAGGTGCACCCTCTGTGGACCCTATATGAGCTTCCCCTAACCTAGATGCTCAACTTGGGACCATTTGAGAGAGCTTCGAGTCCCTTCCTACCCCTAGACCACCTGAGAATTTTTCAATGATCTTCCATAACTTACCTGGGCTTCCACAGACCTGTGTCATTAGCACCTGGAAATTCAGGAACTTTTCCCTAATTCTAAGCTACCTGGGGGAAGAGGAATTCTAGGAACCCATGCCAAGTGTCCCCTGCACCCAAAAACCCTTCACAGTCCTTACACTGATACCTTTCCCCCATCTTCTGAGCTCGGCAAGCTTCCCAGAAGCCCTCACCTGACCTTAGCAGGCCTCTTGAATCCTCTGACTGCCTCTTCATCCTCTCAGCCCACATCAGACTCTCTTTAGTTCTGGTCTGGTCCCTCTGGGTTCTCTTGAATCCTGTCCTTCCCGAGCAGACCTGAGGAAACCCAGAGGCTCTTCCTGAGCCCAGCTGGACTCCCGAGAGTTCTTGGTTTGTCAAATCCATTTTGACTGCCCCAAGTGACCTCGCTGAATCCTCCAGCACCTCTGCGACACCCGTCCATCCCGTCCCTCCCTCAGGTACTACTTCAGCTGCCTGGTAATTACGACCACTATGATCAGCACCTTCTTGACGTTTGTGAAGCCCACGGTCAATGCATACGCCCTTAACAGCATCGCCATACACATTCTCTACATTGTGCACAGAGAGTACAAGAAGTGAGTGCTGGGCGGGCGTGGTTAGGAGTGGAGGCTTCTCCCAGTGAGGGGCAAGGGGCGTGGCCAGGGTGGAGTCCCGCCCAGAATCTCCCAGTGAGGGGCTGGGGGCGTGGTCAGTGGTGGAGCCCCATCTAGAATCCCCCAGTGAGGGGTTGGGGTCATGGTCAGGGGTGGAGCCCCACCTAGAATCCTCCAGTGAGGGGCTGAGTGTTTAAGGGTAAAGCCCCTGTTTAACATGTAGTTGTATACGGGTTCTATTCCCAGCACCATAAAAAAAAAGTAATTGTTAATGCTTTTTAGAAATGGAGTGGTGGTTGCACCTGCCTTGGAGAAGGCTTCAGTTCTCCCTTGGAGCCCTGTACTGTTCTCCAGTGTTCTGTGCTCTGAGCGTTCCCTGACTCTAGTCTCCTGCAGGAGGCGCCCATTCTCCCATGTTGACCCAGACAGACTGCTCTGTCTGCCTGCAAACGTTGTCTGCCTTAAGACATGTTTTTTATTGTTTGTTGTTGTTTGTTTTTTTGAGACAGGGTTTCTCTGTGTAGCTTTGGAGCCTGTGCTGGAACTCGCTCTTGTAGACCAGGCTGGTCTCAAACTCACAGAGATCAGCCTGCCTCTGCCTCCCGAGTGTTGGGATTAAAGGCGTGTGCCACCAACACCTGGCTCATTTATTCATTTTTATTTTTGTGAATCATGGCAATGTGTGGAGGTCAGAGGTCAATCAGTGTCAGTTAGTTCTCCTCTTCCAAGGCGTGGGTCCTGTCCGTCAAACTTAGGTTGTCAGGTTAGCATCAAGTGCCTTTACTTGTTGAGCCATCTCAGCAGCCCAGAGCTTGTCCTTTTTTAATTTTTAGTTTTGTTTGTTTAGTTCTTTGTCTTGACACAGGGTCTCACTGTGGAGCCCTGGCTGCCCTGTAACTCTCTATATAGACTAGGCTTGCTTTGAACTCCCGGAAGTCCTCCTGCCTCTACCTACCCCTGTATTAAAGCAGAATTTAACTTTTTTGATAATTATAGTTCCTTTCCCCCTACCCCAAGTGCTGGGGACTGAACCTAGGGCCTCTTAGACACTAGGCAAGTGCTCTACAGTGAGCTAGAGCCATGATAATATTTTGTATTTGTAACTCATGCTGGGCCTCAGTGATTCAGGGCTACTCAATAGAGCCAACTGAGAAATGAGAGAGAGAGAGAGAGAGAGAGAGAGAGAAAGAGAGAGAGAGAGATTCTTTACAAAAAGAGAGGGCAGAGTGAAGAGAATTCCCGAGAGTGGGACTGGATCCTTGTTGTAAGAGGGGTGGGATTCTCTGAGTATTGGGAGACCTGAGGCAAGGGTCCTGGGGGTCAGGGCAAGAGGGAGGAACTGCAAACTAGAAAAGAAAGCAGGGGAAATGCAAGGTCCTGAGGCAGGAGGATCATGAGTTTCAGCCCAGCCTGGGCTACATGATGAATTCGAGAGTAGCCCAATATACATTTTAAGACCCACCTAAACTCAGCTAAACTGACTTGCATTGGTATGAGTAATCAATCCTCAGGGCCAGCACCTCCTTGGCAGAGACTTTGCCTCCAGCTGCTGGGACACCTGGTTTGAGAAGCATAGGGAGGTGGCTAAGGAGAGTGTCCTTCTACAGGGCACTGTTCCAATACTTCCAGCTCCTGATAGGACTCCACATTGGCCCAGCCAACTGGAAGTCATTGGCCAATCCTGGCAGAAATCACTGGCTCACCATACTGGAAACTATAGTCAAACCAACTGGAAACCATTGGTCAAGCCAACAGTGAACCACAGGTCAAGCCAACAGGAAACCCCAAGTCAAGTCAACAGTGAACCACAGGTCAAGCCAACAGGGAACCCTAAGTCAAGCCAACAGTGACTGGAATCCATAGGTGAAGTCAATGGTGTACAATAGGTCAAACTGTGTCCCATAGATCAAGTCAACTGCATAAAATAGGTCGAACTGACTGTGTATCATAGGTCAAGCCATCCAGAACTCCAAAGTGAAATTCCTAGAAAGCATAGGTTTCACACATGGTAAACTACAGATCAACCCAATTAGAAAGCCCTTGTTCATGCCAAGAAACCATAGAGCAACACAAATGAAAACTATTAGGCAAGCCAACTGGAAGCCATTACCCAAACTGACATAGATGGCATTGGTCAAACCAATTGGAAGCCACTAGTCAAAGAATCAAGTGAATGGTTTCATCATGAGGTGCGCAGGCAGAGACTGTGTGTCTATTGATAAAGGATGGCTTTCTCATTCATTTCCAGAACATTCTTGTCCTGGAGACTGGGGTTTGACTCTGATGAACAGGAACCCAGATTCTGGTCTTGTGTTGTCTCAAGACAAGGCCACCAGAAAATGTACTGCCACATCACTCTCTCTTTCTATCACATACACACATTTTAGTGAGTCTTAGCTATTAGCACACAGTAGGCACCACTGTTAGCTTTCTGCTGCTATTGTAGCATAGCTGAGACAGCATGAAGAGTTAAGATTAGTCCCACATGACCCCACAGGACATAGACCTACCTAGTCCCAGGTACCTGGGAGGCTGAACAAAAGGATTAGTTTAGCCTAGGAGTTTGAAGCAATCTTGGAACATATAGGCAGATATGGTGTGAAGGTGTATGTGTATAAGAGACAGACAGACAGACAGACAGACAGACAATTAGATGCAGAAGGAGGTAGAGACAGAGAGACACACACAGAGAGGCAGAGAGAAAAAGAGACAGAGACAGCAAGAATTATTCTAGTTTTTCTTATTTTATTTCTTTTTTTAAAAGAAAGGTCTTCATTATGTAATCCAGGTTGGCCTCCAAAATCTCAGTCATCCTCCTGCCTCAGCATCCCAGGTTCTGGGATGACAAATGTGTCTTTCTGAACCTGATTTAGGCAATTATTTTTGTCTGTTTGTCTGTTTTCTGTTTGGGCTGACTGTTTTAGAGGTTTGGGTACTGATTGATTGACGCTATTGACTTGGGTCAGTGTGTACTGGGGTTCCCACAATCCCCTTCAAGAACACGTTATAAGTGACCCAAAGACCTCATCTAGGCCCCAACTCTGAAAGATTCCATCACCTCCTTACAGAGTGGAGGTGACGACAGGTCTTTTAACACACAGGCCATTAGGGGACACCTCAGAGCCAACCTACAGCAAACCAGGTCCCTAGAAAACACCACTTCTGCTCCCTTCCTCTCCCAACCTATGAGATGCATCTCTCAGAAGAAGAATTTCCCATCGGCCACTTAGGACAATGCCTTAGGGATGCCGTGTTAGTGCAAATGCACCCATCAATCCTCTCTCCCATCTACCATCCACCCACCTACCTATTCATTTGCATGTCCACCCACTCATCCACATACTCACCTATCCATCCATCCATCCATCTACTCACCCACCCACCCACCCATCCATCCATCTGCCCACACACCCCAAAACAGCCATCTCTTTGTCCCCAGGACCAGGAATGGGGATCTCCGGCATCTGATTAAGATGTCTGTGATCTTATGGGCTGCTGCACTCACCAGCTGGATCAGCGACCGTGTACTTTGCAGTTTCTGGCAGCGGATTCACTTCTACTACCTGCATAGCATTTGGTAAAACACCTCTTTTGGATTCCAAGACCCCCAAGTCAGAGACCAGATGCCAGAGCTTGGAGTGGAGGTCTGGGGTGTAGGGAAAGAAGATACAGATACTGGGCCTGGCGTTGGTGGCGCACGCCTTTAATCCCAGCACTCGGGAGGCAGAGGCAGGTGGTCCAAAGCCACAGAGAAACCCTGTCTCAAAAAACAAAACAAAAAAAAAGAAGAAGAAGATCCTACTGGGATGCGGAGATGGTGGGCAGAGGTTACAGCTAGCAGTCTAGAACTATAGATGCCACTCAGCATCCACAGGAATCCAAGAGTGGGCCGGGCCACCTATTGACTTCTTACTACCCTTCTCTTACAGGCATGTCCTCATAAGCATCACCTTCCCTTATGGTATTGTGACCATGGCCCTGGTGGATGCCAACTACGAGATGCCAGGTCAAACCCTCAAAGTCCACTACTGGCCCCGGGATAGTTGGTTCATTGGGCTACCCTATGTGGAGATCCAGGACAATGACAAGAGCTGCTGAGCCCTGCTGGAGTCTCTGCTCTCCAACCAGCCACCCAGTCTCCTGTGCTCTGAAGATAGAGGACCAGGACTTCATCTGGGACACTTGTGGTCCCTTCTCCTTTCCCTCATGCATGCTCCATGTCCTGCTCTGTTGCCACAAGATGGGCTTTCTTGTGGCTCTGAGTACTAGTTTGATGACTGAGTGTTGGGGGCTGCCTGGCATGCTGCATGACTGGCCTGTGTCCTCCTTCTGCCTGTCCAGCTTCTCCACACCATTGATGTAGGTAGATGGGTGGAAGGGTGGTTATGTGGCTGATACAACACCCGCTTGAAGCATGATGCTTCTGGGACTATTTATGAGTGTTATAGATTCAACTTGGGTCACAACTGTGTTCTGGGAGAGTAAGGAGTCTCCTAGGGAACATTGTTGGCCCCACCCCTATCTTTGAACCACATACATGCTCAGTGCATGGTGACAACATGATGGCCACGGGGGAGGGAAATAGAGCACCGACCTGGGTAATGTCATGGAACAGGGTGTGTGAGAGGGACATGGTGGCCATTCTAGGCACTTAGTGGGGAGGCCACTGTGCTGCTGGACTCTCCCTTCGGCCTGGTCCCACAGGCACTTCAGCCCCAAATAAGCACACAAAGACTTATATTAATTAAAAAACTGTTGGTCGATGGCTATGGCTTCTTACTAGCTAGCCCTCTCTTAATTATTAACTCATTTCTATTAATCTAAGTATTTCCACTCCTGTCTTATCTTACCAGAGAAGGGTTCAGACCTGTTACTCCTTCCTCTGCTACATAACATCTCTTCTCATGGTCTCTCTCTGCCTACCTTTCCCAGAGTTCTCCCCGTCTCCTAGTCCTGCCTATCTTCCTGCCTCTGTTGGCCAGTGTTTGGTATAACCTTGAAAATATCCATCCACACACCTATTATCCATCCACCCATCTACCCTTTCAACAACCCATCCACCCACCCATCCATCCATCCATCCACCCACCCACCCATCTGATGGGGAATGTAATATGTATGTTTATTTTATTGATTGTTAAATAATTGCCAATGAGACAGCAAGTTAGACGGGACTAGGAGTCAAAGAGGATTCTGGGAAATGTAGTAGAGAAGTGCTGATCCAGGCAGGAAGTGACATAGCAAGGAGACTTATATTTAAATGAAAGAGAAGCAGGAAGGGTCCCTTTTTCCCCTTCCTCCTCCAGCGGCAGGATGTGATTCACCAACAAGGAGGGGCGCCAATAAGGCGTCTGATAAGTCTTATAAAATATATAGGTTTATGATAATTAAGACTGAGCTAACAGATGAGGAATCCTAGTCATTGGCCAAGCAGTTTTGAAACTAATACAAGTTTCTATGTATTCATTTGGGCCCTAATTCAGGTGGGCAGCTTTCGTAAAGCATGCACATGGCAGTGGGGCTCAGGCGGCTTTTGGCGGAAAGATTTATCGTAACACCCATCCATCCATCCACCCACCCACCCATCCATCCATCCATCTATTCATCTCTCCTTCCCTCCATTCCTCCCTCCCTTAATCCACCTACATAAATTAAAGCTGCAAATGTGGCTAGTGAAATGGCTCAGATGGCTTGCTGTCCAGTCTGATGACCTGAATTTGATCCCTGGAATTTTCATGGAGAAAGAAGTAGAGAACCAACTCCTTCAAATAGTGTTCTAACCTCCACACACACATTCTGTGGTGCACACAGTACTACTCCAGTGTGGTAGGAAGGTGAACAGACAAAATTTTAGAATGTAAAAGATGCAAATAAGGAGCTGGAAGTATTGGCTCAGCAATTAAGAGCACGAGCTGCTCTGGCAAAGAGAGGACCCAGATTGAGTCCCAGAACCCATGTGACAGTTCATAACCTAGTGTAACTCCAGTCCTGGGAGATCCAATGACCTCTCCTGGCCTCTGTGGGCACTGCACGAATATGATCCACCCATTCAGGTGAATGTTTGCACACATAAAATTTAAAAATCGCAAATGGACTCTCCTGATTTTATTTGCAGTTCACGATTACCTATAGGATGCCATCCTCTCTGTCAGATATCAGACATACAGAGTCCCCTACCCCTGCTATGGTAGAGGTGACAGATGGTAACTGCATGGGTGCTCACGGACATTGATGTGGTGTTAAAAACAGAGCAATTGAAAATGCTGCTGTAGGGGTCACATGCTGGGGGAGAGGCTTCCCTCATGGGTGGTAAGGTGGGAATGCCCTCCACAGAAAGAGCAAGCCCTTGGCTGCACAGGACAACCTGGGAAGAGAGGCAGCTAGCCGTCACTGCCTGGGGCAGGTTCTGAAGCAGCAAAGCAAGTTTCCATAGCTCATCCGGAGGGAGGACTTGTGGCCGCAGGTGCCTGTGTTCTTGATTGCAGACAAGGCTTTTCTTTTTAGCCAGGGCTGTTCCAGACCTCCCAAACTTCCCACCTCAGCCTTCTGGATACTGAGGTGGCAAGTATGCTTAACTATGCCTGGCTACTTACTCACAGTGGATGGGATTTCTACATCTGTGGGTCTTTTGACATCTGCCACAAATGAGAGTTTGGACATGTTACCTAACCCCCTGCCATACAGCACTTCAGACACAGGAGGATACTTTCCTATTATAGATATGGCTCAGAGAAGGCAAATGCCTTGCCCAAGAACACACAGCCTGGACTTGATGTCAGATCTATCCTTCCCGAAAGCTCTTTGGACTGCTTGAGTGGAATGGGACTGGGGTCCCTGCTTCTAGGTCCCCTCTGTCTGTTTTCAAACCCAGATGCTCTTCAGGTGTGTCCCCAGGATGAATTCCAGTCTTGAGAGATGGAGGCAGTCCAGTGAACCTGTGACTTCACTTCCTCCCTCCCTCCCCGTTCCCTCTGTCTTTCTTTCTCCTCCCCTTCCTCTCCCTTCCCCCTCCCCCTAGTTTTTTTTGGGGGGGGTGGTTTCAAGACAGGGTTTTTCTGTATAGTTTTGGAGCCTGTTCTGCCACTTGCTCTGTAGACCAGGCTGGCCTTGAACTTAGATCCACCTGCCTCTGCCTCCCGAGTACTGGGGTTAAAGGCCTGAGCCATCATCTCCTGGTGTGAACTTGTGATATTATCAGCAAAATTGTTTTACCTGAGGGGAAGATGGAGTGTTTGATCCCCCAAAGTTAAGATTCTCACTCAAAGAGTGTCTGAGGCAGGGCGATGAGAGGGACGCCTCTGCTGACAGTTCTGAATGTTTTCTTCCCTTCTTTGTGTCTCCGCTGTGAAATCAACCGTCCCAGGTTTCGGGAGACATCATGATGACATTTCTTTTTGTTTGTTTGTTCTTTGAGACAGGGTTTCTCTGTGTAACTTTGGAGCCTGTCAAACTCTGGAACTCGCTCTGTAGATCAGGCTGGCTTTGAATTCACAGAGATCCACCTACCTCTGCCTCCCAAGTGCTGGGATTAAAGGCGTGCACCACCACCACCCTGTGGATTTCTTTTTATTTTATTTTAATTTTTTGAGAGTCAGGATCATGTAGCCCAGGCTGCCCTAGAACTCACCATGTAGCCCAGGCTGGTCTCAGATTTATAGCAATCCTTCTGCCTTCACCTCTAGCGTGATGGATAAAAACTCACTATACCCAGCTCTTCAAAAATTAAATATTTTTGCTTTTTTGCATAGCCGTCAATGGTTCCCATTGCAGGGGAGTGTTCCCAGCAGGCTTGGCATTGGGCTTAGTCTGGGCCAGGTCTCTCATGGTGGGTCACTGGACTCTACTCCAGCTTGCTTATCTTTCTCTGAGCATCAAGGGGCCAGGTGGACATTTGTGACAATCTGAAAAAACTGAGGGTGACAAAAACACACTTGAGACCAGAGAGTGGGATTTCAAAAACTCTCTGGAAGGCTGGGCCATCTACAAGGTCAAATAAAAAAATTAAAAGTAGTTAAGTGTGGAGTCAGGCTCTGGGGTGCAAACCAAGGCAACCAGTAGAGGGCAGTAGCTTCAGGCTCAAAGCAGGAGTCAGCACGTCCTGCAGAAGGTTAGTGTCCAGAAGCAGATCAGGCTAGAGCCCCTGCGTCCAGTTTCCCCGTTTGGAAACGTGGATCACATGGTAAGAAGATGACAGAGATATCTGATAGGATCAGTTATGTGTGCATCAAATCCCCAACTGCCATTCTCTTTTCCTCCTTTTCTTTCCCTCCTCCCCTCCCTCCCTCTTCCTTTTTTCTTACCTTCCTCCCTTCTGCTTGAGACAGGGTTTCATTTGCCCAGTCTGGACCTAAACTCTCTACGTAGCTAAGAATGACTTTGAACTCTGATCTCAAAGATCCTCCTGCCCCTGCCTCCTGAGTGCTGGGGTCAAAGTTATGTGCCACCACCCAGCCCAAATCTTAGTTTTAATAGAGGAGGTCTGTTTTCTTGTCATGGTTATGGGCTCCTTTAGTTGCATCACTTGGGAGGAAGAGATAGGTAGATCTCTATGAGTTCCAGGCCAACCTGGGTTTCACAGTGAAACCCTGTCTCCAAAGGAGTTATTTGCTGGGTGTGGTAGTGCACATCTTTAGGCCAGCACTTGGGAGGGAGAAGCAGGCAGATCTCTATGAGTTCGAGGCCAGCCTGGTCTACAGAGTAAGTTCCAGAACAGCCAGGGCTATGCAGAGAAACCTTATGTACTGGAACTCTGTCTATGTACCAGACTGACCTTTAACCCAGAGATCTACCTGTCTCCCAGTGCTGAGATCATTATGCCCCACAATATCTGGCTTATTTATTTATCTGGTGTGTGTAAGTGTCTGTGGAAACCAGAGAAAGCATTAGATCCTGTGGTATTTGACTAAGAATGGTTCCAACAGGCTCAACAGTTTGAATACTTGGTCCCCACTCGGTGGAACCATTTGGTAAGGCTTAGGGGATGTGGTCTTCTTGGAAGAAGTTTGTCTTCAACCTTCTTCAGGGTTGAGCTTTGAGGGTTCAAAAGACTCCTACAATTCGAATTTTGCTCTCTATCTCCTACCTGTGAATCCAGACATGAGCTTTTGGCTGCTCTTGCTTCCATTTCTTAGCTCTTCTATGATGAATTCTGACCCTCTGAAACTGCAAGCCCAATTAAATATTTCCTTTATGTTGTCCTGGTCATGGTGTTTTTTATCACAGCAATAGAAAAGTACCCAATATAGATCCCTTGGAGCTGGAGTTAAATGTGGATGTGAGGCACCTGAGGCAGGGCTGGGAACCAAACCCCGGTCCTTTGCAAGAATAGGACATGTTGTTAATGGCTGAAGCGTCTTCCTAGGTCCTGGTTCTTTATTTTGATTGGTAGATTGTCATGTAGCATTTTTCTACTGTCCATGCCCACTCCCATAATGCAATTATGCATGATGTGTAGGCGTGCAATGGTAAGTAGGTAATGGCGTGTCTCCCGGAAGGCTGCTAGAGGACACAATTTTCCTCACTGTGCATGCACCCCAAACCAGTTCAGGGCAGATCAGCCTTCTAGTCTTTATTCCTGGACACACTGGGAATGCACTGGAGTAGAAACTCACCCAATTCAATTGTCATCAGAGATGGGAGGCTTCTGCTCTTGTTCAGGGATAGAAAGGCATGCACCCTGATGCAGATGTCAATCATGGATCCCAGGTTGTTGTGTGTATTGTTTGGAAAGAAGTATGTTTGCAAAGTACATTCAGAGATTTGG